AGATGACTTGTGGGATCAGAAACAAATAATACGCAAAGCATTCAAAGGATATTAGCAAAAATAAGCAATTTGTGCTCGATTTTTTTGTGCTTCCGCGCAAGACTTTCCGCTGCACATATATATAGTACTAGTAAATAGCACTATTCAAAACCTAGACTTAAGAGGAAAGTTGTACTTTCAGTAATTGCAAATATAACGTTTATTAAGCTTAAACTTATATATCTTTAACTAATTAAACTCCTCGTTGAAAAAGTTTTGGAGGATAACCAAAAATCTTTTATGACCTAACAGTTTATCTTGTTGCCAGTTAAGGTCATAATAAAGGTGGAACTGTTCATCTTTTAGATCTTATAGCACATTAAATTTAAATATATTTTAATGCTTACAAGTATTGATATAACAGTGTTTTTATAGAGAGAATTTATTGATTTACTGGTGAATATTTTTTTTTCTGTGTCTCGATCAAAAGTTGAAAACATCATCCAGGAGTAGTCACAACTTCTCTAGCATTTACAAAATAGTACGACCTCCGGGTTTGCTCTCCTTTATGACAGCATTCCTGTGTTCTAATATATTAATTTTTTGAATTACCTTCTCGACAGAGTTGGAAGGCAGACTTCAACGTAAATAATCATAAATAATGATATAATAAAAAGGATGAATATAATTTACTTGTGACTTAACGAAGAGGGGGTTAGGTCATGTTTTTTTACAAAATTTCTAAAAATTTAAGAATACTGTTATGATATTTCCACTGCTATTGCATTACTCGGGATAGCCTTCTATTGTGTTTCACGGTTATTATTAATAATGCTAGCTTTCATGTAGTCAAAGAATCTATACGCTAATGAAATTTTACTTTTAAAAAGATATAAATTATGTTAAGTGAAATAAAGTTTTGCACTATTCTGTTCCGCGGTAGATTTGTCCTTATGCACTTGTGAGATCGCCCTGAAAACTTAATTGAGAGCGAAAATGAAATTTTCATTTTAAAGAAAAGACAAGGGCCTAAAAGTTAATACCAAAAATTAATTAATACTATAAATTAGTCATTAGTTTGCTTATCTTTCAACGACACTACTTTTTACTAAATACAAGTACTAAAGAATCCTCACTAAAAAGAAAAATACAAGCCTATAAAATATACTTTACAGCTAAGGTTAACTTTAACGAATAAAAAAATACTTATTAAATTTATTTTTTTTTTGTTTCATAACCACTAATTATATAGTTTTTGTACAAAAAGAGTCCTAGTAAATTGAATAGTTCGAACCCAAAAGTTAAATTTTGTAAATAATATTAACAATAATAATTAAGAAATATTAAAGTTTAAAATCCCTTTGATTATCATCTTTAATAAATACAAAGTACGTGTAGAAAGGAATTCTTTTCAATTTGAAAATTATGAGCCCATATTTAACCTTTCTGCTAAGGATAACTTGTAAAAGTATAGAATATAATTATCCCTACCTACTTTTTCTAATTCCCATTTTAACAAAAAAAGACCAAGAATTTTCAGCTCACTAAGTAAACGTTATAGCTAGAGTTAACTTTTAAAGAGAATTATTATCTGCTTTTGCTTTTCATAATTACAAAACCATTTTGTTTTCTAAAAATTTCTTTCATTTTGTGTAAAGAAATATAAAATCATATATTTGTATTTGTTTTTTATTATATTATCATCACAACTACTTCTACTTTATATGAAGGCATTAATATTATTATAATTTTTTCGTATCTATTGTTTAAGTTTTCCTCCTTTTACCTTCAATTACAAAAAAGTAATAAATTAATTACAAAAATAAAACTTTTGTAGCTTGCATATATTTTATAACATAAAATACTATTTTATTTCTTTCCCAAGCATCGTTACTACTCATTATATAAGCAAACACAATATTATTATATAGAAATTTTAAATTTATAACGGATTATTATAATTATTATATTGAATATTGTAGACAATTAGCGGTATAAGAATTATTATATAAATTTGTATTTTAGAACGTCAAATTTAATGCACTTTAGTAATATTTTAACTAGCGAAAACTAACAATTTTTGTCAGTTTTGAATTAAAATTAGTTTTTAATTATAATCCAACTATTAATATTATCCTTACATAAAATTTCTATAATATTTCTTAACTTTATCCGCAAATCTAAAAATACTGCTATCGTATAATTTATCAGATTTTAAAATATCCATAATTTAGTTACTGTTTAAGAATAAGGTTCCACTCTACAATAATCCTATTCCACCTACGATAGTGAAGACAGAAAATTTTATCCTTAGAAACAAATATAATTTAATTACTTACTTCACCGGAAACTATAATTATGAACTTGCATTTAAAAATTTAACCTTTACTATAAGGAAATCATTATATAACTTTTATAATCGACGTATATTATTATTATTGTGCTGAGTCAATGTGGAATTAATTTTACTGCTCACGTTTTACTACGCACCTAAGTAAAAACAAAGCAGTTTTAGATAACTTTTATAATTTTCTCTTGAAGTAAAATTCATAAAAATCTTAAGTAAATGAGTTTAAATTCAAATTTTGAAATTTTCTATAACTTATTAGTGCTAAATTTTAATTTCCTTCTGCTTATAAATATGTTTACTAATATCATCTTAGTTTAAATATTTATAATTACTTTAATAATAAAAATTTATTACAATTTGATTAACTAAATTTAATTTACAAATAATTTAATTTTCAAAATTAAATAATTTTTAAAATAACCTTGTTATAAAATTAAAAAAACTTTTCTAATTGTTTACCTACTAAATATAAATTAGAACTGAAATATTATTATAATTCTTAATCGTAAAAGTACTGTTATTAGTTATTAATTAATTATTAATTTAATTTTTTTAAAATTATAGATTTTATTTAATTACTGTATTTGAATATATTACAAATTTATAATCAATATATTTTTATATACTTCTTGTAGCAGATTCAAAACGGTAGCTTTTTGCCGCTCGGCAGTATCGTAAAGCGGCCAACCAAGAATCATGCGCGGATACCTTTTTATTTCTGTAGGAGGTTTGTGGCGCACCCGATACTCGGCTGTCATTGCAGCAGGGTAAGACCTTAGTGGTTAAAGAGTTAAATACACTGGCAGCTTTGTAGATTGGTGCTAATAATGGTGACTTTTGGCATCTTAAAGATTAGGTGCTTAGGGCCGTTGAATCCATTCTATTGATTCTTCGACAATTATCGTCATAAGTAAACGGGTTATATGTCCAATATTGTATCAAGCACAAATCTTCTACTTGATTTTAAGGTTAATAACGCTATTTACCTAAAAGTTAAGGTGATTTTGCACATTTAAGCAACTGAAAACCTCGTATGAGAAAGAAACTTTGCATTCTTCTCTCGAGGCTGTGTCTCACTTTTTAGGTGCTACAATCTCACAAAGTAATTATTGGAGCTACTTCTTTTAGTTGGAAATCTTATTATAACAACATATACCCCAACTAACCATTGTATGAAGTTATCTCTACTACTAACTCAAACCATAATTTTTGTCCTCGTATTTTAACGTGTCCTTGTTAGCTTTTTCTCTCATCACTTAACAAATATAAAAAGCGTTACCAAATTCAGAAACTATACCCAACTTATTATATGTAACCTATTAAATTAGTGGATTTAAACCCTTTGTCATGTTAACCTCCCTTATTGGGCCAAGTTGGAAGAACACTTTAACTAAAATAAACTGCTAAGGAATGTTTATTAAATAAACTTACTGTTAAACTATAATGCAAATAGCTTTAACACATACTTCTTGACCTTCATATTTAGGCCCTGTTCTCTATATTTTTATGTAAGTCGAAACTTGGGCATTATTATAAAATAATATTTGAACTAGCCATAAATTATATAAACTGATCTCTGTCCATCAAAGCAAGAAATATAATATTACTATTTAATTCAGATTTTAAACTTATGATTTACACATTACTTTTAATTTAATTACAAAATGATCATTTTCTTTGTATAAATTACCGGAAACTATAATAGCTGTATTTTAATTACTTTTTAGAAGTAGGATTGACCCTATAACTCTATTCCACTTATGAAAATAATCAATACAAAAAAGTTAATCAAACTAAACAAACTAATCTTTTAAATAACCGGAAACCATAATATCACTATTTTTTAATTTAGATTTTAAATTTATGAATTACACAATAATTAGAATTTGGTTATGAAAATGATAATATCTATTACTATTATGTATCATTATTTATTCTCAGATCTAACTTAGTTAATTTATATATTTTACCGGGAAACTGAAATATTTTTGACAGTTTCTTTTTAAAATTTTATATAATGAAATTAAGCAATAATTAAAATCAATTAAATCTTAATTTTAAGCCTATTTATATAAAAAATAAAAAAATTAAAATTATGATAATTATGAAATTAAAAATTGGGACACAAAATCAATTCCCTTTATTTTTTAAATTTATTTTTAATCTAATTTGCAAATCTTAATACATTTATAAATCCAAAGAGAAGATTTATATTTACAATCTCTTAATTTCTTTTTTAAACTTCTCTTTTACTTAATTGCATCAAATTTCAAATTACTTTATTAACATAATAAAAGTCTCATTTTCTTAATCAAATTAAGTTTATTTTAAAAATAAGAAATTAAATGCTCGTATAAAATCTTTTTTATTATAGATAAATTAATTTTTATAGAGAAGTGCAAATTGAATAGTCACAAATTTTTATTTAAAACAAATAATGAAATTAAATCATTTAAAATTCTAAAAATTTTTGGAGTTCATTTAAGTTGTCTTCAGAAGAATTCGAATTATTTTCTTCGCTATTTTTTTTACTAATTTCAATTGTTTGTAAATCAACTTTAGAATTAATTTTACAAGGCCGAAATTCTGAATCTAAAATAATTTATAATGAAAAAGTTTAGTATCAAAGTTATGAAAAAAAAATAAAAAGGATTAATTTTTAAATTTATTTTAAGGTTTTATAAACTTAGGAAGATTTTAATTTAATTTCTTCGTTTTTTTTAAGGTATTAAATTTTTATTATTATTTTTATATTTGTTATAAATTTAAAATTTTTTAATTTAATTTATAAATTTTTAAAAATATTTTTATTAACTATAAAAAAAAATTTAGTTTCTAAAGATTTTTTCTTGCTTATTAAAATTATTTCATGATCAAATAAAATTATTAACAAATTTTAACCGATATAAAATAAGTTATTAGTTGTAATTATAACATTTCTAAAATTTTAATTATTTTAAAAAGTTATTAAATTATTAAATTTTTTTAATAATTTTGAAATATTTTTTAAATACTTTTTAATTTTTCTAAAATTATTTAAATTTTTAGTTTTCAATTTACAAAGTTTTTTTTAAGTTTTTTGATTACTTTTTGAATTTTTAGTAATTTTAAAATTTCTTCTTAAATTATTTTAATTACTTTTTGAGTTTCAGACAAATAATTAAAAATTAAAGTTCTCAAGTCATTAATTTTTTTTAAATAAAAATTAATTGTTTAATTACCTTTTCAGTTCAGTAAAAAATTAAATAAAAATTTAATTTTCAAATTATTATTTTTAAAAAAAAAAACTTAAAATTTCTTTAGCTGTTAATAACCTTTTGAGTTCCTGTAAAATTAGCATAAATTTTAAATTTTTTCAGATAATTATTTTTTTAAAAAATTGTGTAAATATTTTTGGGTTTCCGTAAAAACAATTAAAATATGAATTTTCAAATTATCAATATTTTATTAAATTGTTTAAAAAAAAAATTAAAATAAAGTTATTAAATTATTTTGTCTTAATAAATTTTAATTTTCTTTTCATTTAGTATAATTACTTTTTTTAATTTTTTTTTGTAGTAAAAATAAAAACTATAAATATAAAAAATTATAATAAACCAAAAAGTTTAGTTTAACTATAAACATTTTTTTTGTAATATTTTTTAACTTCTGTTTAAAATTTTACTTTTTTCAAAAAAAAGTTAAAAAATTAGCTTTTTATTTTTGTTTAACTTTTTAAAGTAAATTTTTCCAAAATTTTTTTTTATAATTCTTTTTAATTAATAATTTATATTATTTTTTATTATTTATATTTTCAAAGTAATTTTTCTTTTAAAAACTTTTAATATTTTTTCTAAGGAATTGTATTAATTTTGAAGTTTTCATAAATGAATAAAATTAATTTTTTATTTTATTTTAATTAAAATATATTAACGATATTTTTGTTTACTACTTAATTTTCTTTTATCTTTGTTAACTTATTCACTTTTTTTTTTAATTTTATTTTTATTTAAATTTGCGTGACAATAATCTTTATTTATCTTTTGTATAATTTTTTTTACAAAAATTGTAAAAATTTTTATTATATCTTTAAAAAACTAATTTTTGAATTTGTTAAATTTTTTAAAATTAATAAAAAGTTTTTCAAAAAAAATATTAACAAAAAAAACTTTAAAAAAAAAAATAATATTATTGTTATCAATTGTAATTAAACAATAAATAATAATTTTTGAATTTTAATTTTTTTATTAATATTTATAATTTTAATAAAATTAAATATTGAAAAAACTTATAAAGTATTTTTGAATTTTTTATATTTTTATTTCTTTATAAAAATATAAAATATTTTGGTTAAAACTTTTATAAAAAAAATTCAAAATTGTTTAAGTTTTTTTATAACTTTTCCAAAAAAAATTGTAAAAAAAAAAATAATATATTTATTTCAATTCAAATTAAACGTTAAAAAATATTTTTTAAAGTTTTTTTTTAATACTTTCTTATTTATTAATTAATAAATTAAATTGTCATTCAAAAAAAAGTAAACGCGTTACCACGTGGTTGCTGCGGGGTGCTCACGACATCCTCAATAATCTCCTCTTCCTTCAGCCAATCGCTGGACAAATTAAAGATCGCTAAAAGTTCGTCATTAGTAAAATATACAAAAGGCATCAGCGCTTGAAGATCGGAACCGCTAAAAAAAATAAAATTTTTAATTTAAATTTGTTGAATTATAAATTATATTTACTTTTTAATATCTTGTATATTTTCTTAAAAAGTCGAAGAAAGTAACGTAAAATATTTTATTATAAATAATAAAAAATGGAAATAAATTAAGTTGTACGAATTTAAATTCAAAAAATTTTAAAAGAAATACTTTTAATATTTGCTTTAAAGTTTTTTTTATATTCACCAGAATATTATTATAAAAACTTTTTAGTAAAAAAATAATGTAAAATAATAAAAAGTAAAATTTCAAATTTAATTAATAAAATTTTTGAGAAAATTTATAATAAAAAACTTTAAATAGCATATTTTCTTTTTATTATTTTATTATTTATAAATTCAAAAATTTATTAGTAAAAAATAAAAAGTAAATTTTATCTAATAAAATAAAGTAAAAGAAAAATTATACCAAAAACTTTTTTTAATGACATTTATTTGTTTTTTTCTATTCGTTGTTTTGTAATTTTAAAAATTTATTAGTAAAAAAAAAATAAAACTTAAACTTTAGTTAACAATAAAATTCAATAAAAGCTTAAATACCATAACTATTTGTTTCGTTTATTTTCAATAAATTAAGATATTATCAATAAAGAATAATATAAAGTAAAAAAGTAAAAAAAAAAGTAAATTTTATATACTAAAAAAATGCATATAAAATTTATAACAAATTTATTTTTAAGTTTTGTAGTAGAAAAAAAAAAATATAAATTTACAAAAAGTAAAAAATAAATTTAAATTTATATTAAAAGGTATAACAATTATCATAAAAAGTTTTACCATATTTTTAATTTGGTTCATGTAAACTTTTAAATCCAAACATAATTTATAACTAAAACTATTTATTAGTATTAAAAAAAATAAGTTTAAATTTATATTAAACGTTGAACAAAATTTATAACAGAAAGTTTTACTATAATTTTAGTATTACTTGTTAATTTTTAAATTTACAGTTTTATTTATAACAGAAACTTTTATATTTTAGAGTTTTTTTAAAAAAAAAAATTTATAAAAAGTATAATACAAATGTCGAACAAAATTCATATAAAAAAGTTTAACTATAATTTTTGTTAGTTTTATTTATTCGTTAATTCTTTAAAATAAGTAACACACCAATAAAAATCAAGCCCAACAAAATCCAGCAACATTTTTAATGAGTTGGTAGTGGCCTCCACGTAACTGGAGCAGCGATGGGCGTGCGAATAAGCAGTGCTTCACAAAAATTATTACAAAAAAGATAAATATCTTTTAATGATTATTCATTATAATTTATGAAAAATAATATACCTTTTAGTGCGCAGCCACTTTTCCACTATTGTTGGATTTATAATAACATTTCCAAAACTAATTACAATAATAATAATAGTTGCCAGATTATTAACAATATATATAGCAAATATTATAATAATGGTTGTAAAAAGTATATAATAAAAAAAATCATATTAAAAGTAATAATAGTAATAAAGTATTAATAACTAATACTAACAGTAAATTTTATATAGTCGACAAAAGTATATAGAATAATACAACCTATGTATATAAAAAAGCTAATAAAGATGATAGTAGTAGAAAGCAGGTAATAATAAATATTTTAAAAAGATAAGAAATAATAACAAAAATAATAATACTATAATAAAATGTTTACTTAAAGTAATAATAACGAAAATGAATATTACAAGAAAAAAGCAAATAACGATAATAATAGTAATATTAGTGAACAGAGGTTAGTATAATAATGGAAAAAGTATAGAAAAAAACATAAATAATAACAATATATTTATACATAATAGTTAATACTGCTATAAAAATAGTTGTAAACTACATAATAATAAATAACAAATAATAAGTAAACAACCGATCCACCACAATTTCCGTTCCCACGTGCTGAAAAAATAAAAACGATTGGGGTAGGCCGACCACGAGGTCCCCGTCGAAAACTATTCGAAAACTATTCGGGACCACTGCGTTGTAGTCCAGCGCAAATAAAAAGTTTCCGACACGTGGCGACCCAAAGTTGTACATCTGGAGGTCGCCCAGTTGGAACTGGAGGGTTAAGTCGTACGCAGCGAAAGTGGCTAATGCCCCGCCAAGACTAAAAAATAATAGTTCTTAATTGCGTTGCTTTCTATCGGTAAAAAAACGCTATAATGATATTGATTGGTTACTTAACTAACCTGTGGCCTGTCACAAAAAGCAGCGGCTTCTGGCCCCCAAGGGACTGGATATAGTTCCCGACCCGTTGAATAATTCGATCGCTTATAGAATAGTCATAAATAAAAAGCCACCAATTCAAGCAGTTTTTTCATTAAATTTTCATCAAAAATGGTGACGCACCGAAGTCCTGCATAAGCTCTCCAAAAGCCTTTATGAACTCCAAGAAATCTTTCTTGAGAGATAACAGTATTGTTCAAGTCGGGCAAAAGTTGCTTACGATGATAAATAGAATTCATTATTTTAAGAGAGGTAGAAGAGTCGGTGTAATAATAGTAATGAATAGCAGAGAAAATAGTGATTATAAGTTTTATATTTTTTTAGTTCATGACAAGTCACATCATTAGCTTTTGATAGATCCAAAATTGGTAGATTTACCCCGAATAGGCGACGAAAAAAAACATTTTGTGGCGGATAACGAAATTAATATACAAGTAAAAATCTTTTTCAAACCATAAGCACAAATATCATTACCAGCACTGATTGGTTAAATATTTAACACCAATTAAGTAATTTGGGCCGTTATAAAGATATTTTAATAACGAGTTGATAAAAAGTGCCCATCAAAAGCGGTAATTTGGTTGAAAGTTTATTTATGTCTTAGAAGGGGCAAACGAAACTTAGCGGTTATTTTTTTAAAATAAAAAATACTTAGAAAAAGTAGTGGTGCCCCAAAGGCCCACAACAATAAATTTTTAGCCAATAAGAATAAAGGATGGCAGCGGTTGGTCACGTATTTACGAAAGTTTATGAGTAAAACGAAAAAAAGAGTGGAAATTAAAGGTAATTCTTTGTTATATAAGAAATTTAATAAAAACTTGGCGGTATTAATTTTTATTGGTTGCAGAAAACACACAAAAATGTTTAATTGGTTAATAAATAATACTTTTTTACTTATTACTGTTATATATTCTTTTCTTTTACTTTTCTTTCATTGGTTATAAAAATAAAGTTATTATATTATATTATTTACAAATAGATATTTTTTTACTACATTTACTTTTATTTATTATAAATAAAAAATATTACTTCTTTTCTACACTCTCCTTTATTGATTATGTCAGTAGTGTTTATCAATAATAATAAAAATTACTTTTTTTCTACTTTTTTCATTCATTTATTATTATTATAATTTAAAAAAATATATTTTCGTAAAATAATAAATATTTCTTTTCTACTTTTATTCATTTACTTTTATTATTATTATTAAAAATAAATAAATTTTCATATAATATTTCTTTTGTACCCTTTTCTTTTACTTTTGTTATTATTATTATGAAAAAACTATAATAAAATAATAAATATATTTTAATATTTTTTCTTCCATTTACTTTTATAATTATTATCATTTAAAAAAATATATATTATTATATACTAATAAATATTTTTTTATAATTTTTTCTTTATTTATTAATATTTATAAAATATATATTTATTATATAATAAATATTTCTTCACTATTCTTCCTTTCATAACTATTTATTATTAGTATTATTAAAAGAAATATAAACTATAATAAAATAATAGAATTATTTTTACTTTTTTTTTCTTTCATATACTTTTATTATTATTATAAGAAAATAAAATTATATTAAATAATATTTCTATTCTACTTTTTTAATAATTCCTATTAATTATCTTTTTTAAAAAATTTATAAATTATTAAAGTTAAGTTATTATTAAAAGTTTTATTTTTCTTTACTTTAATAATATTCCAAAACGCGTTTCCGCTTTACTGTTATTAATAAAACTTTTTATATTAATAATAATAACTTTTTACTATTTTTAATTATTTATATTTTTACTTTCATAATAAAAATATTTTTTTTCTTTATTTAAAAAATTTTAAAAAAGTTAAAGTTATTATTTTCTAATTTATTTGTACTTTTTACGTATAAAAGTTTGTATTAAATAGCAAAACTTTAATAATAATAATACTTTTCACTATTTTTTAAATATTTTTTTCATTAAAATATTCCATTTTATGAAACCTTGAAAAAGTCGAAGTTGCTAAGTAAATGCTTCCAACAACTGGACCCTCTAAAGGCAATGACAAGCTTATCGCGTTGCAGTGCTACTAAACAATGGCTTTCGTAGATTGGATCGCTGATAAAATCCAAAAGATTCAGTTGGCCTGTTAATTCAGTAAAAATAATGAGTCGTCCATTCCAGCAAAACTGCTGCAATAATAATATAATTGGCAAGCAAATAAAAAAAAATGGGTACCTTGGAGCATCATTTTTATTACGTTATTTCTATATTAGTAAATTTATTATTATCATTAAAAGTTATAATTTATTTACTTGATTTATGAAATTCCATATTATAATTATATATCTATTTGAAATATATAATATTCTTTACTATTATTATTTTTTTTCTTGCTATTTTGCTTTATTTAAAATAAGCTAAATATGAAAATATAAAGTGAGGGTTACCCACACATATATATATATATATATATATTATAAAATCTTATTATGTTTATTATATCTTTCATCATTTTTATATACTTACTATTACTATTATTATTTTATCATTATAAACCTTTCATTTCTCCCCATCCGGAGGCCGTCTTTATGCCTTTTGGGTCATAATACGACTGCACTGCAAAGTTCAGTAACCAACGAGCAAGAATTGCACAATATTTTGTTTCACCTTTGTACTTTCCGTATGGAAAAGTCGGCCTTTTAAAAAAATAACAACAAATAATTATAAATTAAAAAAATTAACGCATGATAATTTAGTGGTTGGTTTATTTATAACTTTACTGATTGGTTACTTGATTCATGATTAGTTAATTTCACGGGGAAGGAATTGTACTTCTTTATGACTTTTTTATTGAATAAATTTATTTAATTGATTATTGGTTAAATAATTTATCACAAATATGCATTTTTGTTAGATTCAGTTTGTAATTGTAAGTATTTAATTATTTAAAGATGGCTCAATTATAATTAATGACTGGTTACATTTTACTACCGTTGGTCTAGTGAAAATATAAATTTATTTTCAATAGATAATTGGTTGCCTCAATATTTATTCATAATAAATATAAAATCAATACTGGTTTGGTCCAGTAATAATCTAATAATTGGTAACGTATTAGATATTACTTATACATAAAATTTATTGTTATTTATAAAAATTTGGCCCTATTATAAGTTAATAGTCAGTGTTTTAATGGCTATTGGTTGATATTATGTTTATAATTAATTTTTGTGCAGTTATTGGTTTAAAACTTTTCATTGCTAATACTTTACTGGTTTTCTTAAAATTTTTACTGAACGATGATGGCCCTACTAAAATAACTGGATTGGTTAATTATTCTCCAATAATAAATAATTTATAATTTATACGATTGGTCGAGCCACGAGCTCTCCGAAAACTATTACTTCAAGGATTGGTTAGTGTTTATAACACAAGTTTATAATAATTTTTATTATAATGCTATATTATTATTATTAATTATATACATAAAAACCTAAGTTTTTTGATGGTTTCATTCAAAGAAACATAAGAAAGTTGTTTCTTGATATAAAAAGGAACAAAATATACAGGAAGATAGAGATATCCAAGTAGATAATTATACACGCTTATAATATACACGACACCCAGCAAATTCTAAAGCAAAAAATATATAAAAAATAAAAAGAACCAATCAGCAGTACATATATAAAAGTTGTGACTAATAAAGTATTTGACTTATATGTAAGTAGCCAATAGAAAAAGTTAATAATAATAGTAATAGTAATAGTAATAATAATAAATAATAATAATAACCTGCCCACTTTCAAGGTCTAAGAAAGTCGAAGAATAAACATTATAAGAAACAGTGAGAATAAGGAATATCAATACGCACCAGCCTATTATTATTGTCATTATTACTATTACATAACAACTTTTCTCTACAGCACAAAAAACCTTGAATTATAAAAAAGCGGAAGGGCAACTGGCGGAAGCGATAAGTAATATAAGGGAGGCGGTCCAATCGGCTTCGAGCGCGAAGGATGGTCACGATAATCCAGAAAAGCCATACAAGCAGCGAAAATATCTTCAAGTAATTCAATAAAACAACGAAAAGTAGAGTCAAGTTTCCTTCCATTTCAAGTCTTTTGATAATAGTAATGATAAGTAAAAAAAATAATAAGAAAAATAATGGTAAGTAAAGGAAATAATTATGATAATAAGAAAGCAACATATAATAATGACGACAATAATTAAAAAAATAAAATTATTTAATAAAATTATTTACTTATAGAACATATATTTTTATACAATAATATTAAATATATAAAAGTTTTTATAATAAACAGTAAAAAAAAAAATTATTATTGTTTCCCAAACTTTTATTTTATATATAAATATATTAATAAAAAAAAACAAAATTTTTATAATAAAATGTAAACAAAAAAATTATTATTATTAAGTTATTAAAACTTTTATGTTTTATACTAAAACGTATAATAATAACATTAAATAAATGAATAAATATTATTTACTTCAATATTTTAATAAACTTCCATCCATATCGCGTTTATTTTAAACTTTATTGTATTTTATTAATATTATTCATAAAAAAAAAACTTTTATACTTTTATTATTATTATTTACTTTTTATTAATTCATCAACTTCTGCAATTTTCTTACTTGTATTATTTTATAGCTAATATTATCAATTTATCCATATTCGTAACAATAATAAACCTTTTTTTATTATGATAATGTTTTACTATAAATTATTTATATTTTTCAGTGAAACTAAAAATATTTCTTTACTTGTTACTATTTTATTAATTTTACTAATATTGAAGATTTAATATATTTTTACTATTTTTTTTTATTATATAATAAATCTTTTTATATTCTTTTATTTTTTTCTTTTGTTAAAAAGTAATAATAATACGATAAACACTTAAAAATAGTTAATAATATTAATAAATAATATATATAATACTAATAAATAATAAGAAATATAAATAAAATTAAATAATAATAATAATAATAATAAAAGATAAAAAAAAAATTGTTACTAAAAAGTTTGATAATGTTTTTAAATTATTATTATTTTATTTTATTTTTATTTTATAAAAAAAAGTTTATAAAAAAATTTTTATAAAACTTTATTATTTTCTTATACAAAAAAGTTTAGAAAAGTTAAAGTTATTTATTTATTATTTTATTTTATTATTATTATAAAAAAGTTTGAATTAATTTTATTTTTTTTTAAAATTAAAAATTTTTATTTTTAGTTATTTTTTATTATTATTATTAAATTTTATTATTTATTAATTTTACTTATTTTAATTAATTATTTATTTTATTTCTATAAGTAAAATAATATTTTTATATTTATTATTAAAAAAAATATTTACTTATTATCTTTTATTCTTTATTAATTTTTATTATAGTTATAAAAAAGTTATTTCTTTCCTTGTTTAACCTTTTTTAAAAATAGGTTTGAATATATTTTATTTATATTTTTTTATTTTTATTTATTTTTATAATGAAAATATTGTAATCATAATTTATTATTTGTTATTAATAATAATAATAAATTACTTATTGATTTTATTATTATTATAATATTATAATTTATTTTTTCTTATATATTATAAAAAAGTTTGAGTCATTGATTTATATTTTTTTTATTTATATTATTTATACGAAAAACTTTTTATTTATTTTTTTATTTTTAGTTGTTTTTATTATTATAAAAAAAATTTTTATTATAAAGTTTTAGGATTAAGATATTATATGAAGTTTTCAATTTATTTATTTTATGTTTAATTTTTTTTTATTGTATTATTTTTTTCTAGGAAAAGGTATAAAAATATTTTTACTTTTAATATTATTATAAATAAATTTTTTATTTTTTTTTATTGTTTATTTTCATTATAAAAAAGTTCGAGATTATTTTTATTCAGGTTATTTCTATTAAAAAAAAAATCCATTTTATTATAATTATTATTTTTGTTTAATCTTATTCTAATATTTACTCATTATTCTTTTTTTATTAAATTTATTACTTTTATTTATCATTATTATTATTTGGTTTTCTTTTTCATAATTTTTCAGATTTTCTTATATTTATTTAATAATGGTACTAAAATATTTATTTACTGATTTTTTTTTAATGTTATTACTAATATATTATAATTAATATTTATATTATTATTAATATTATTAATATTTATTTCTTTACTATATCCGTTTATTACCTCTATTTTTATAAAATTATTATTGATATATATTAGAATTATATAAATATTTTTTATATAATCTATTTACTATTATATTTATAAATTGTTATCTTATTATTGTAACTATTTTAAATATAATTATGATTTATATTTTTTATTATTTTTATATTACCTATTAATATATTTTTGATATTTAATTATATTATTATGCAAATATTAATTACTTATTATTATTATTTCTATTTTCATGAATTCTTACTTAAATATTTATTTATTTATGACTTCTATTTTAATTATTTTATTAATTATAATTTCACTTTTCATTTTTTTTATTACTATTATTTTTTATTTCTATTATTATTAGTTTTATTAATAATCAATTATTTTTTACTTATTTTTTTTAGTAGTTTACTTATTATTATTTTTTTTCTATTTTTATTATATTTATCAGTTTTATTAATTATTATTTTATTTTTTATTTATTTTTTTGGTTTATTAGTTTTTTATTATTATTTTATTTATCTATTTTTATTTACTTTCTATTTTTTCTTAGTTTAATCGTTATTTTATTATTATTATTTTTATTACTTCATTTATTATTTACTATTAGATTCATAATTTAATTTTTTTTAGACATTAATTTTTTTATTATTATTATAATTACTTATTAATTTTTCTATTATTATTATATTTATTATTATTATTTATAATTATTTTAATATTGATTCATTTTGTTATTCTATTTTTACAATTTTTATGAATTATTATTTCATTGTTTGTACATATTTTTTTATTTAATAGTTTTATTTATTAATTTTTTATGTATTATATATTTTATATTTATTTCAAATTTTTTATTATCAAAATAAAAAAGTTTTTTTATCATTTTCTTTTTTATTATACTAAAAACTTTTTTTAATAATTTATAATATCTATTTATACTTTTTAATAGCATTTTTAACATATTTATCACTTTTTTATAACTTTTACGGATTATTATATTAATTATTATATTTTATATAACTAGTTTTATATATATTATGCAAATATATATTTTTTTATTAAATATAGTATTTATTTATACTTTTTATAGCTTCTTTCGAACTTTTATAGACTTTTATTATATTTATTATTAATTTTTATATTACTATTTTTTATTTAGCGAAAGTATTACATATACAAAAAAAACTTTTATTTACTTTTTTTACTACCAATTATATTTTTATTTTAAACTTTTTTATATCATTTTTATTTTTTATATATTTTTATATATATTTAAACTTTTCTACAACTTTTATATACTTTTATAAACTTTTTTTAAAAACCTTTCATAATATGAATCGTAAGTGAGCATCTTTAAGAATTCTGCCCCCATACAAACAGACCAAAAAGTAAAAAAAAAGCAAATTTTCGGCATATAAAAGTCGATTCCCTTCACTTTAATTTTCTTGCGGTGCAATAAATCTTCATAATAAGAGTAATAATAATTGTAAATATATCAATAGTAAAAATATAAATATAATAAACAATAAAAATAATAATCACGAATGAAAAAAAATAAAAATATACTTAAAAAAGTATAAAAAGTTATTATAAAATAAAAAATTTATAAAAAAATAAATATAAAAATATAAAAAAAGTAAAAAAATTAATTGTTAATATACGAAATATATAAATAAAAATTAGAAAAAGTAATAAAATAAAAAATAATTATGACCAAAAGAAAACAGAAAAAAGTATCAAATAATTATTACAAAGTAGAAAAAAATAAAAATATGAAGTAAATTAAAATATAAATAAAGTAAAGTAATAAAAATTATAAAAATAATAATAACAAATAAGAAAAGTAAAGTAAACTTTTCCTATTAATAATAATAATATTAAATAATTACAATAAAATAGCAAAATAAAAAATATATATAAAAAGTAATTAAAATATAAATGAAACAATAAAAGTAATATAAAAATATTAACATAACATAATTAATATATTAAAAGTGGATATAAATATTATAAATAAGGAAAATTAAATATAGTTTGAAAGTAAAAAGTTTTGAAAAGTTAAGTAAAAAAATACAGAAAGTTTTAATAATAATAAATATTTATAGAAAAAAAATATTAAGAAAAAAAATTAAAATATTAAAAATATATTAAAAGTTTTACTATAGAAAAAAGTACAATAAATAATATTAAATTTAAAAATAAAAAAAAATTTTCTTTCTAATAAATATTTATTTGAAATAATTACTATTTAGAAAAATTTTAAATTTTTATTATTAATAATAATAATACATAGTAAATAAAGTTTTTAAGGGATAATGTTTTATAAATAATAAATAATTACTAAAAGTTTTTTATTATTAGACAAGTTAAATACTAAAAAAAATATAAAAAGTACAAAAAATAATATAAAAGTTTTCTTAATAAATAAATAAAAAAATTTATTATAAAAAGTCCAATGTAAAATAATATTTAAATAATATAAAGTTTTATTATAATAATTATTTTTAAAAAAATTTCGACAAAGAATGATAATAATAAATCTTAAATAATATAACAGTTTATTAATAATGAATATTCTAAAAGAAATTTCTCATCAAAAAAAAAAATATAAAATATTAAATAAAAAATATAACGTTTTATTATTAAAATAATTATACAATAAAAAATAATAAATTTTTATAAAATATCTACTAGTAAGAAAAAAATACTATAAATATTATAATAAAAATATTAAGCCCTATAAAAAATAAATATTAATTAAAAGTTTTTTATTAATAAAAAACAATAGATATACATAGACATATACTAAATATATATATTTTTTTTATATAAAAGTTTACTATTTAAAAAAAATCTAAAAATTATTATTATAACAATTAAAATAAATATTTACTAAAACTTTTTCTTTTAAAGTATTAATAATAATAAATATTAAAAAAAAATTAGTATACTAATAATAAATTTTATAAAATATAAAAATAATATTTTATATATATAAATAGTTTATTAATAATATATAGGAATAATAATAATATATAAAGAATACGAAAAGTTATATTTATAATAAAAATGTATAAAAAAGTTTTTATTATAATAACAATAATAAAGTTTTATATTATAAATAATAAAAGACTTATAAAAATATAAAAATAGTTTTATTTATACATAAATATAATAACAACAAAAAAAGTTTATTTAAACATTATAATAATAATAAATAATAAAAAGCATTAATACTTTATTAATAATAATAAATAATTATATCTTATATTTATAATAGAAATAAACATAATTGGTAAGTTTTTTAAATAAGAAACACATATTAATAATAATTAGAAAAAAGTTTTCTGTAGTTATAAAAAAATTAATAAAAGTTTATGAAAACAATAATAAATAATAATTTTTGAAATAATTTATAGTTTACTGATAAAAAAATAAATATAATAAAAGTTTATTAATAGTAATAATAAATACTAGAGAAAAGTTTTATTTATATTTAAATATAATGAAAATCAAAGTATTTTATACTATTATAAGTCTGTACAGTACTCCTGCAGAAACTTTTTTCTATAAAAAAAACTTTTTTTCTCCTTTTCTTTAGTAATAAAAACTTTTAATAAACTGCTTTGTACTTGAGCTTCGCTATAAATAAAAAGTTGTTGCAAAAAAAAGTATATTATTAATAAATATATATAAAAATTTTTATTACTTAGTGGTTTTGTTCTCGCCTGGAAAAAGTGATGCTCATTATTATTATTAGTATTTTTGTTAGTGTTATTAACATTATTGTCATTACTAGCAAAATTAAAGGAGGCCATTATAACTGCCAAAATGGACATAGAAACTCCAAAAAGTAAAACGGCCAGTTTATATTATTGGGGTATTTTTTATCTTTGATTCTACAAAAAGATACAAATTGGACCCAGATGTTTGCTTAACCTTTCGGGTGCATATAATAATTGTGGTTATATTTTTATGAATTTGTGTAATGTTTAGTTATCAGTATTATTGTTATTGTTATTTTTTATTATTATATATTATTTTCATTGTTAATATACATTATTATAATTATATATATTACTATTTATTATTATTATTAGTATTACATATTATTATTGTTAATATTTATTATTATTTACTATAGCTAAGGCTAATGTACGGATTTACCACGTGTGTAAGCCTCTTGCGAGGACTTGCATAAAAGCTAACTATTTTAATTGATTACTATTTTCTGTTAGATATTATGATTGGCTCTCTTCTTAGCTAACCAAACAAAAGGATTCTTAGGGGCCTTCACTGAACTGGTGCTTTCAAAAAAATTCCACCAAGGACTGGAAACTCAGCATATGGAACCAAGATGATGGAAAAAGCTCTGCGGTAGTCCATAAGATGGACCTAACAGCCTACGGCCACTCGTCATACAGACAAACACGTGTTTTAAAAACTCTCCACTAGAACGTTTAAACAGATTTAACCAATGAAAGCCCGGAAGTTAGGGTGGCTGTCTCCATGCCCAAACCAACTGAGAATAATGTAAAGTGGTCATAATAAAAATATGAGGAACATTATTAGTCATTAAATAATTAATCAAAGAATTCAAAAGATTAGCCATTAAATAACCAATTAAAGGAATTCGAGAAAAAAGGGCTTACTTAGAAGAATTTGCATACATTTTATTAGAAAACTTACACAGTTGGAAGAAATAAGAGCAATGACTAACAGTATTGGTTCATTTAAATACCATTCAAATTTATTCTTTTAATAAAATTATAAACACCAAAAAAACTAAATAATGGTAAAAGTTACTATAATAATAAAACTAAATATATAAAAGAAAGGCCTTAGTATAATAACATACATACAAAGTTAAAAATATATATAAATAATAAAAAATATATTATTAAGTATTAAAAGTAATAATTATAATAATAGTAATAATAATAATGCAAACCCAAAAAAAATAAGTAAAACGCAAGCATCACTGAAAAAGCAGTACTCGTTAAAAATTTTGAAATCAAGCGAAGATTGGGGGAACCTAAATATAGCTATATTGGATCTATATACCATAAAAGAGATCCGTTTTATAAATGATACCAAAAATAACGACCAATGGGTGTAATGGATTTTGATAGAAGAAAGTAGCCAGCAGAAGTACAAATATGCATTTCTTATAATAAAAAAATTATAATATAATAATAAATAAAAATTTTAAAATACTTATAAAATTAGAAGAAAAAAATTATATAAGTAAATTTTTAAATATTTCATAGAAATATATTTTCACTCAATATACTTATAAAAAAAAGTTAATATTATATAAAACAAAATTTAGTAATAATAATTTGTGCTAAAAGATTTCTAAAATTTTAATTTATAATATTTTTTTATAATTAAAAAATAAAAATAATTATAAATAATAAATAATAATAACGCGCTCAGGAAGAAAATCAGTTTTCAATACTTCGGAAGCCCAAAGCTGATGAAAATAATACGCCGTCACCAGTAAAGTTAATATGCACAAGCAAAATCGTACAGAAATTTCAACTTAAATTTAAAAAAAATATTAATTATAATTATTATTATTATTGTTATTATTTGTACCGTATTTATAAGACATGCGAAAGTAAAAAAAAGTATAAATCACTAAAGCATCCGAAGCGTAGATGGAACGATTTAAAGGCCCGCTATACTCTACAGCAACTTTAAAGCCCTTTAAAGTTAATAATATTAATTAATTAATAAAAAATAAATATAATAAAAGTTATGAAATCGAGAAGTAAATTTTCGCTGATTCGTCATTGTGAAACTTGCAAACTTAAAAAATATTAAAAATTTTACTTAAAAACAAAGAAAAGATTTACTAAAAAGATTTTAATTTTTCATACAAAAACATTCAAAAATGAACCAAAATGAGAGATTTCTATATTTCTTTGAAAGACTGTTAAAATTTATCACAAAAGCACTTAAAACTGAAATCAAAATCAAAGATTTCTTAATACAATAATTTTTAATTATTTATAAAATAAAAAGACTTACTAAAGAGAAAAATATAAATTTTTTACAAAAGAAAATAAAATCAAAATCAAAATCAATCTTAGTATTAGAACATATATATATAATATTTTTTAAAAACAGTGATTTATGAAATTAAAAATATCTACTAGCACTTAAAAAATTTTTTAGAACTATAATTTAAAAATTAAAAAAATTCTAATAAACAGAATTTATATAATTCTATTGAAAATTTTTTCATAAAATTACAAACAAAATTAACAATTCTAGTTAATATATATAATTTTCTTGATTATTATTTTTAAAATAAAATTTTTCCTTAAAAAAATTTTTAATATTCCGCAAAACATAAGATTTTACAAAGATAAATAATTCTCATTATTTGAACAGATGTTTATAAAGTAACAAGATTTTTTTTAAAATAAATTAATAATTTTCCACAAAATCAAAAAATTAAAATTTGAATTGAATAATTAAATTTTTGAAACATAGATTTAACATTTTTAAACTTTTCTATAAAATTTAAAGAGTTCTTAAAGGATTTTAAAATTTTCTAGAGTCACTAAAAAGTAAATTTAAAATAAAAAATTAAATTACTTAAACATTTCCATAAATTTTTAAATATTTATTTTTAAAACCTGAAAGCTTAACTAAAAAGATTTTCAAGTTAAACAAAATCACAAAAAATTAATAAAAATCTCGGAATCTTATTTTATTTTTTGTATATGTATACATTTTTTTTTTAATTTTATTTATAAAATAAAAAAATCCAATAAAGGGTTTTAAAGTTCGCTAACAAAATCTCTAAAGTTGAATCAAAAATATAAAGAAAATAATTATTTAAACAAATTAATAAAAAGAAGAATAGAAAAAAAAATACTTTAAAATCAAGAAGCCGATCTTTACAAGCAAAACATGAAATATCCGAACGGCGGAATAAAAGTAGCGGAGAGCAAGAATATTCCCCGTCAAATTTAATGCATCTCAGTTTTTGAGTGGCATTATAAATGGCTCGGATCGGCTGCCACACTCCATCTTTTTCTCCAAACTTTTGTAAAAAATATTTAATTAAAAAAATTAAAAAAGAGAATCTTAAAAATATGCAGGAAAACCACATCGACAGAGTAACGAATTATGCGTATTGGTGGTTTGGGCTCCTGCTTGGGCTCAACAGTAACAATCAAATCGAAAAACCCGTAAAAAGGGGACCAGTGCTCTTAAAAATTAAATAAGTGATAAGTACTAAAAAACTTCAACTTTAGTAAGAAGAAAATTATAAAATTTTAGGTTTTTATAAAAAAAACCTAAAAAACCAAACCATTTTTGCTTAAAGGGATGTACAATAGTGCAGGAATTAAAGTAAAGAAAATTCTGTTCTTCATTAATAGTAATTAACAGTGGGAATAAAAATTAAAGAAAAATAAAAACATCATTTTATAGCTTATAAAAAATAAGGTATAAAAAAATAAACTTACGATCTTCTGAAAAGTTTAAATTATTGTTGTTGCTTAACAAATTACCTGTACTATTACTAATGGTAGAATTTAATATATTATGTGAACTACTAGAAAATAAATGTGTTGGACTGTTATAAAAACTTTCTTTTGAAAGTTGAAGGCTGTTGGAACATAACGCTCCCTGTTGTGAGTTTTGCAACTTAGCAAATTTAAGTTCGTAAAGTCCTGAAATTAAAAAAAATGGAAATTTAATAATTGAAAGGAAAAAGATGAAGATATTTTAAAAAGTATTTATTTGTAACCTGATAATAATGCAACTCCTACTGAAAAGTAAGTTAAGAACATTACGACCAGTACTTGAAATTTAGAAAGAACTTCCATGCGAATTCTTGGTTCATTGTAATGAGATGTTTTGTTTTTATAAACGGGTGATTCGGGTTTCTTCAATAAACTGGAAGACGGTTTAGTATTTTCTCCAGAAGAACGATTTATAAATATAGCATTATTTATTGAATGACCCAAATCAGCGCTTGAGGAAGAAGATAGAGAATCGGCGCTATACCCGTTAAAGTTCATGACAGAAAAAATACTAACATTAGGAATTTAAAGTAATTGTTTTCTTTTATTTAATAAAGTATTTTTTTGAAAGATGAAAATATCTAATAAGAATACCATTTAAACTTGTTAATTTTATATTATTTACCGAGATACTTTGTTTCTCGCTATGCAAAAAACCGTGTTTTTTTGGCAAAAACCTATAAAACTTTATTTTGGCCAATAACTTTTAAATATCAGTTAATTGAAACGACGGAAAAGTGTTCAATAACTGTGGGCTGTCAAGTTACGTTTTAGTTTATTTTCTAATAAAGGTTGCTTGTATTCCTTTTTCTACACCACATAATGGAATTTATATATAATATTCAACATTATAGCTATATATAACTACTTAAAAAAAAAATAACTAATAGTTTTCCCAAGAACAGCTCTAATGGCCAGAACAAGAATTATCTAGTCGATAACTAATTTATATAATATGCACTTTGCATTTACTCTTTATAATAACTACATGAATAAAAGAAACATAATCTTTAAGAGGAATGCGCGGGATATATATGTGTATACCGCATAATAACACTATCCACCTGAAGAGCAAATTTTACTAGTTAGAGAGGCTAGTTTCGAGTTGCTACTGTTAAACAACACGGGCATGACTACATGTCGCATCCCTACCAAAGTCTACTGTCTAGTTCTTATGTAACCATACTTATGGCTCTGGAACGGAGCACAGTCTTAGTAGTGTCTCTCTATTTGAATTTATGAAGGAGAGGTTAAATACGCGACCATTCAAGACCGAAAAAGAGAGTCGCGCCAGGGGAATTGAACCACGACCATGGATATGGGCGTTAATGCTCTCAACTGCTGTGCTACAACGACAACTCTCGATCCCGGTATGTTGGTTTTACATATATAACCTGTTACATTCACCCTACGACTCAAACATACCCTTTTGCTTTCGTTCATCGCTACTCGCACCGAGAGTTACCGTAGGCATAGGATTCAGCATGTTTCACACAAGTTTCATAAAAGGGTTCTGCTTACATTGCCACTATATGTCGTGCGAGTTTAATTATACTAAAGCTGGAAGGTTGTGAACCTTTGTATGGTGCTTTTATATTTAGAAAGCTACAGTAGCTGGTCAGTCGAGCCCTACGCTTCTGATTCAGTAGCATAAAGAAGCCAATCAAAGGGATGCTCAAGGGCATAACGAAATCCCTAGCACACAGGTGAGATAGATTCTTTAAAGAGCTAAAGTCAACCTCGAGTTTTTACTAAGCTCAAAAGCATATTCTTCGATACTTGCGTTCTACTACTTAAGAACTGTCCTAAGTAGCATGTAACACTGAATTTAGAGCTCCACTTAGAATATCATAGTTACAACTCTCTGGTTCAAGTGTATCAAGTTCAAGTTTCAGATCGGAAGCTAGAAGTACCTTGCTAAGAGTAGATGCACAAGATAGGAAACACCCAAATAAGTATAACCGTAGGCGCTAAGAATCTTTAGAGGGTGACACGACCTGAGCGAAGATGAGTCTACCTTTAAGCCGTATTCCATCTTAGTGTGGGCATCCAATAAATCAACCTTAGACACCTCAGGGACTAACGCCGAGGTTGAGTGCGAATTGAAAAATAGGCACGATCTTTTTCATGCGCTTTACTATAGTGACCTGAGGACCCCGCTAAAGAATGTGTCGGCTCAAAAGAAGGTTAAAAAGTTAGAATAAAAAGTATTTGCCTACAGTCAGATGTAACACGAAACTGCATAGCCCTACCACTAATAGGCCAATCTAAACACCTAAAACTTAAAAGCGATTCTATTGTCATAAGGGTAAGCTTACATAATTTATTAAAGGTTCAATTTAGCTAAGATTTGCCATATATACCTTAATTGTGCGGTTTCTTCATCTTATAATAATATATGTGCCACATTTCTTTATTGGCTAAACAATGTATCTTGGCGTCACACCGGCTTTTTATAAAGAGAAGGCTGACCGTAATAAATTAAAAAAAGTAATTTTTTTTTTAAGAAGAATAAGAAGTTAGTTAGCTTGAAAAATACAGAATGGAAGAAGAAAGTATAAAACTTTATAAAACCGTCATGACACCATAAAAGAATGCACTTAAAGGTCTTTGTAGCTAAGAAGACGTATGCTCGGTATTATAATTATGTAAGCTTTAAGTGAATTTTGTGATAATTATTTGTTTCATCTATTTAATAAGCATAAAAATTTAGAAATTTTTTATGAGGTACTAATTCATAATTAGCCCAAGGGCTTATTTAATGGTTCAAAATTTCCTTTTGTCATATGCGAGCAATTAAAGCATCAAACGGATCTGAAATTAATGCGGATTACGAAGTCGCACTTAATGTAGTGTGCGTAATATTTATAATTCTGTTTAAAAGTAAAACTTCTTAATAAGGGCACTTAGGTCAGTAACTCATTAAGTTTGTCATGGAAATTTAAATTTATGTAAATAATAGAAATTAAAATCTAATACTTTAATAAACGGAAAAAATGATTTACCCGACAAAAAGAAAATGGAAGCTTTTGCAAACATTTAGCACTGCTTTACTATCTATTATAACCTTGAAAAAAAAAAAAAATTTAATGAAATCGTATAGTAGGTGCTAGATTTCTTGGTTTTTAAAATATTACGCAACATTCATTACGTCATGTTCGCAGCCATCAAACAAAAAAGGAAGTCGTTCCCGGTTGAAAACGAACCCATGATTTTGAATTTGCGCGCCGATGCTTAAACGCTGGGCTACGCTGACAACTTTCAAAGGATTTATACGAGTTTATTCAGGCTTTGCCATCGACTTTTGGTTCATGTGGTTCAAATCGGCCTCCTATCGGTGGTCGTAGTATTGCGCCGCGCTAATTTGTCTTGGTAAATAAGCTTTCAGCCAAATAAAGGGAGTCTTATTAAACAGTAATATTTAAAAAAGCGGATTTCGTCAGTAGTGCCGAATATGCTGAGAGACCCGCCTTGAGAAACTCAGCAGATTTTAATAAATCCGCAAAAGGCCCAAGTAAAGGTAAACCTTTCCGGTGTCTCTTTTACTTCGCTTATCTTAAGCCAAACTGAAAAATGACCAGTGACAGTTCGTAAGGAGCCTTAGCTTCCTGATGATGATTTTATCTAGAATAGCCATATTCAACACGTCTGATGAGTGTTCGATGCTGTGTTATATTTAATAATATTAAATTATATTAAATTAAAATCTACTATATTGAATTATATTTTATTATACTTTATATTTTATTTTTTCTATATTTTAATTATAGTGTACAGTGGTGGATGAAAGCTTATAGATATAGCTAACAGTCGAACGGCCACCCAGCTATCGACCTACGGAGACGCCTGGTTAGTTTAATAAAAATTGTTAAAATAGTTACTAAACACTCAAGAATGCCTTCAGTGTAATTTAACAGTCACTTAAATTTTCGACACTCTTATTCCAAGCGGGATGCTCGCTGACGAGGTGTCGCTTAGAAGGTTGTAAGCTGCTATGAAAAGGGTGTAAAAGTCTGAGGTTTTTATGGTTTACAGGGAAAATCGTTAGTTGCACATAGACCTACAGCCCACTAATTGCCTTACATAATTTCCGGGAAGAGCTTATAAGTGCTGGTCTAAAGAATAATATATATTAAAACTGGTTCGTAACATAGGTAGTGTGCAAGTAGGGTTATAACTCTGAGAGGAATCTTATAAAGTACGTAGTTTTTGTGACTTAAAAAGAAATATTAACGCATTCATAAAGAAAATTATGGTCTTCTCAGACTAAAAAAAGATTTATTTCTATAACGAATATGACTTACAAAGCCTTAAAAATATGAATTTTAAGGAATCTACAGTTGTTTTAATATAGTAGTGAGTACGTTAATAATTGCTTACTACGACCTTTTAATTAAAAAAAAGGAACTTTGTGGTGAAACAATTTTTTGTAACCAATACTTACCATCAACCCTTTAAACCACTAATGGTTGAGTTGTACTTACATTTATAAAAATAGGTGTGAATATATTTTCGTTAAATGCTTACGAAATAATTTTAACTTTGTGTATTTTGTTAGTTAAGAAAATTTTAGACGCGTTATATATCCACTTTATATTATTTTAATAATATTTAAAAGCTTTTCCTTCTTTTAGGTGTTATGAAAAAATTTTAAAAATATTATAAAGAAAAAAAAATAGTACAAAAAAGTTGTTAGTATTTAAAATAAAGAAGATAATAAAAATAATAAAATACTATTCAGAAAATAGTACTCGCTTTAAATTCTATTTAACAAATTCAGTATTATGAAGTGGATATGGGCTTTTGTGTTTTCCTTAGTTACGCAAGCCACCCTTAAATTATTTTCATTTAACTGTGAAAGCGAAGATTGCTCTGCCATCGCAGCTCTACATTCTGATCTGGATAATAACAAAGATGGAGTTGTCAATGAACTGGAATCTGCAGATGTTGGTTTATTTTTTATGTGTCTGCTTACAAATTTTCACGAATCTTCCTTTTGTATATTAGTTTTTAAATAAAGTGGTTGCTAACCCTAAAGAACGGGTTCGAAAAGAAAATGCTTTTCATGCTTTTGATACGGACGAAGATGATGATGATTTTATTTCAGTGTCAGAATTGCAAGCTGCTTGGAGGAATAGCGATGGTTCTATTTTTTATAAACTATAATATGATTCTATTTTCTTTATAAGAAACAGTATAGAATTTAAAGGCATCTTTATTTCCTCTATGCCTGTAATTTTTTTTTCATAGTATTTCCTTTTTTTTATTATTAATTTTTAACTGATTTCAAGTAATATTATAGCTTTTTTGTCAGGTTATTATAATCTCGCGATTTTTATTATAAGTATAGAAAAGTTAATTATTTTTAGTTAGGCGTTGGTCTAACATTGAAGTTATTCTTTGGTTAGAAGACAGGGGATTTAGTTCGGTAGCACCAATCTTTAAAAATTTCAAAATTACGGGTAAAAAATTGCCTGCTTTGGCTCTCAATCAGGTTTAACTTGATATCTTTTATATTATATATATATATATATATATATATTAAAAAAAGCCCTTTTTTTTCAAGGGCTATCATTTAGTTGAAATGGGGATTAATAAGGACGTCGCTTTCCACTTGGCTAATTGCATTATTTTGGAAATTCTTTTTCCGAGTCGCAGTATTTTATATATTATTTATTTTTTTGTTTTTTTAATAAATCTTATAGTTAAGATTTAACCTTAAATTTTTTATATTTTTTATGCTTACATTAATAAATCCCGAAATTAAAATTTTACTGTTTTTCTTGATATATTTTGTTATACATATAGATAATATATTTTTATATTTTCGAAATTTTTTTTAAATAATATTTTAATTTATCTTTTTCTTATTCTACTCAAGAAATTATAGCCTGCAATCATTATTTAATCTTGTTTATAAAGGATAATTGTGAGAAGCTATATATTGTAAATTAATCGTAAATTAACTTTCTGTTAACAGTTTTTTACCTCCTTTTGCATAAACTTATATTTATAACAGACGTAAGCTATTATTATTGTACTTTTTAAAAGTTAATTAGCGAATTTTCGCAACCATTTGAGCAACGTTTACTTAGAATTATCAATATAATTTTAACACTTTCTCAAAGATTAAGATTTAAGCAAAATTTTATTTTAAGTCTTGCACTTTTCTTTTTTTTTAGGTAGCCAGAGAAAGTTATAAAGGTTAACGCTCGCCAACTTGCCACTGGTTGTGCGTGTTCCTATCTTTTATTGGTGGAGTTAATGTTAACCAAATTGATTGGTTTTCTTGCTTTTTATACCACGTGCTTAAGGAAAACGCTTTTATTAGACGCAAGAATTATTGATTGTGCAAGAAGAAAGTTTCTTATTTAAAAAAAAACTGTCAGCCTAAAATTTTTTTTATCAAATATAATATTATTTATTAATAATTCTTTTATTAATTTAAAGTAATATTTTTTAACTTTTTAATTATAATTTTTATTAAAAAATTACAGTAATAATATTAAATTTATGTTTTTATTTATATGAATAATAATTTTATTAATAATAAATTTGTTGTTATCATTTTGTTGTGCTATTCAGACAAATAATATTAATAATATCCACTTAAAACTATTTTAAAACTTATAATTAAGATGGACGCCTTTATGAATTTATTGTTTTTTATATTCTTCCGGGGCTTTTGTCTTTACTTTTTTTGGCCGTCGCTATAAACTTCCGCTCGAAAAGCAAAGTAAGCTTTTATTTTTATTTAGTATAATCATTTTTTTAATAAAATTATTTTTTTTTATAAATCTCTTTCCATATTTTAGTATCTATAAAAAAAATTTCTTGTTCTAAATTTTTAGAGAGATTTATTCTTAGGAAAACTCCTATAGCGACTCCGTATTAATTTAGTTGCAAACTTATTTCTTCAAGATCGCACGAAAATAATTAGATTAAATTTTGCATATAACCACAAAAACACAATTTTCATCGGATTAAAAGAATTTTTTTTTGGAAAAAAAAAAGTAGCATTAAAAAGTCTAAAATATATCTAAATTATAATTTAATAAAATGCAAACGATTCTATTAAGTGGCCTGTAGTCAAAATTTAAACAAAAATTTTAATAAAAATTTTTGTTTTGTTTTGTTTTGTTAGAAGTTTAGCTTAAGTGGATGCGAGGCAGGCGAGGGTTCAGCGTTATATAAGTTTTTTTACTTGAGTAAAATTTTTTTATAAATAATTTCATTTTTCTATTAAAGATTTCTGTTCTTCATCAAGAATTGGAACAGGCTAAAAAGTTTATTGAAGAAGCTGAAACTGTACAGGATATATATAAGAACCTATTAATATTTTATTTAAGTTTTAATTTAAAAAACTATTCATTTGATTTGGGTTCAAAATTTATGTAAAGATAATATTCTAAAGTTTAAAGATGTTTATTTTCCAAGTTAAAAAATTTTGGGGACTCAGTTAAGATTGTCATTATGCCTTGATTATTAATAGGATAATTCTTTCGTAAAGATTTTATTAAGAGTTAAAAAGTCTTAATACTATCCTAAATTATTTTTTAAGCTTATAATATTCTAAATACTTGCTCCGCTTTTCTAATTAACCTAAAAAAAATTTAACACCTTAATTTTAAAATTTTTTATATGCAAGAAGAGGTTATTTTATTATAAACTTTATAATAAACCATCCTTCCGACCTTTCAAAAGTTTAGCTCTTCATAATAATTTTTATATAAGTATTAATAAATTTAGAATTAATTTAAATTATCTTATAATATTCTAATAGCGATTCCGCTTTTTTATTTATACCAAAAATATATAAATTTATTTGTAATATGTTTTATACGCCAAATGAGTTATTTTATATTTATCTTAATAATAGGCAATATATCTAAAAATAGGACTTTAATTTTAAAAAGCTACTACTTAGCCTTATAAAAAGTTTAGCTTTTATATCAATTTTTTCTCTTAAACTAAGATATAGTTAAATTACCTTGTAATGTTCTAATAATGGCAATTCCGCTCTTTTAATTATATATATATAAAAAAAGAGCGTTTTAACACTTTATATCATAATTTTTATACGCAAGGCGAGTTTAATTATAAAAAACTTGGTAACAAAAACTATATTTAAAAACAAACCTTTAAATTTAGGGGCTACTATTTAGCACTTAAAAAAGTTTGGCTCTTAATTTTATAGTTAAAAGCCAGGTTGTACTGTACGTGAACGAATTTTGTTTTAACTTCAATAAAAACAAGATTTTTGTTAAATAATAACAATTGTATAATTTAATACCATAAAGGATTTTATTCACTTGGCTATCTCTATTCATTGCTTAACTAAATTTAACAAGCTTATTAATACTTTTGAGCAGGACGCGTGTGAGTATTGCGTATACGCACGTAATACACAATATCAGCTTAAAGAAGGAAAAAAGTAACTATTAAGATCTATTAAGAAACAGGACACATTTTAAAGTTATGATAACATTTAGGCTCAAAAGTTTGAGATTGCCATTTTCATAAAGTTTTGATTCATAGAGAGGGGTAAAATATGTTTTCAGTGCAACTTAACTTACCTTACTCTGCCTCACTAAAGCTTTTTCGTTATAATTTCATAATATTTATCTTTAAAAAAAAAAATTAACTTAATTTTTCTCTTTATAGTGCCATCTGCATCCTCCTATTTTAATTTTTCTTCAGTTTCCTAAGTTAAAAAATTTTTATAAGATATTATGAAACGACCTTTAAAAGTTACTCTTCTTTTGTTTTCATAAATAATGTTAAAAAAAAAACATAGTTAGGAAACTGAAGGCAAAACAAAAACTTTTTCTAATCATTCTTTAACAGCCTTTTAAAGTTTCGTTATTGTTCTTTTATTTCTTAAAATTAAAAGTTTAACTAATAAATTAGAAACTATTCATAGAAAAAGAACAACGGCAAGAAAGAACAACTATTAAAAACGGACAAGATTTTGTCATTCGGAATTTGATTAGCGACATCAAAGGGATTGTGTACGAACTTGAAAACACAACTCGCACTCACTTAGAAAGAGAATCAATGGAAATTAAGAAAGAAGTTTATAACTATACGTTTTCTTTTTACTTTTTAGTATATATTACTTACTATTCCTAGTTAAATCGATTCCTCCAAAAAAAAAATTCTTTGCTCGGTAATTTTACTTTGGCTCACATGGGAGGTACAACTACGTTAAGGAAACGTAAGTCATTTTATTATAATTTTTTCTAAAGATTTGATTTCTAAAATTTAAAGGTTTCTTTGCTATGAAAACTTAACAATGTAAGATTGCATTTACAACCATCCCTAAGATAAGTTAAAATAAATTTTTGCGGTAGAAAAACTTAAGTTAAAGCATTTTACTGTTAACTTTAGTTTGTTTGTAAGGAAACTTTAAAGTTTAATGCTTTAAAAAACCGTCACGCCTTTATTAAAATATCTATAAAGTAGAGTCACTATCTTTTTTAATTTTTGGTAACGCTTTAAAAAAAGGCCATCTGCTTTTTTTTATTGTTATCTTAGGGAAAAGGTTAAAACATACTTCGATGGTGGAAAAAGCATTTTTAACAATGTTAATCAAAAAATAAACTTGTAATCTGCGCTACTTTTAAAAAAATTAGAGTTGAAGTAGATAATTTAGTTTTAGGGGATGGTTATTGCAAGAATTGCTATATAAATTTTTGACATAAACTCATAGAAATTGAAATTCTGTAATATTTTTTACGATACTGTTTATTTTTTAGTCTTTTTATAAATTCAGAAATTTGTTTTCTGGCTGTATATACCATTAAAAGTTGTCATTTTCTAATAACTTTATAAACTTTTTAGTAGCTGCTGATAACCTAAGGGAAATAGCGATACTAGGAGAAAGAAGGGCCAAACTTCAGCTTTTATTTAAAAAGCTTATAGATTGTATATAAAATTTAATAAAAAGAGCGTGGTTAATACTTTTGAATACCACTACTAATTATCTCAAATGCTTCAGTTTTACGCGTATTTTTTAATAAAATTTTTACTCCTGCAACAATTACCTTCATTGCGAAATCTTATGTTCCAGTATAAACGAATGTGGCTCGCTTCGGTGCAAAGTCTTATATAATATTCCGCCCTACCCCTTTTTATTTCACGATTTTAAGTCTTCTTCGTTAACAACTATTGCAGATCCTCATCCTCGAGCGCAGACTGCTTATTCCTGGCATTAGTAATTAATTTGTCTACAAGGCAGTTTAAGTTAAAAAGTCTAACGTGAAACGAGTTTTAGTTTTAATTTCATGAAAAATTTTATAAAGAAAACGGGTTCAAATACCACGCAGAGCAGTCAATAACGTGGTTAATTCAGGGCATGTATAAAAGTTTCTATGATCAGTGGCCGATTGAATACGTCTTCATTCGTTTGTAAACGTTTACTGAGCCTTAAAGAAAATGTTTAAATTGTAGAATATTCAGGTCGCCATCGTGGTGCATAATGCGCACCAGGCAAATGCTTTAACAGTTTGTTTTCTGTATACTTGCACATTGCCACAGTTGACGTTGCAGTAGAGACGCAAGCCGGGTGAAGCGTATAAGCCTAATTTCAGCGCAACGTTATACACCGTGTTGTTCCCCCGAAAATATATTATCCAAAATGAGAGCCGATAATTTTTCCTGAGGGCACCATGGAATCTCCGCACTATTATAAAACAGGAGGAGAAAGTGAAACGCATCTCTTTCCAACAAGAAGGGCATTTTGTTTTTCGCTACGTTGACTGTTACACCCCTCCGATAATACCAACTGGTGTTTTCAAGTGAAGTTGAAGGTACTGAAATATAGGCTTATAACTCCTCGACAACGCGTAATTTACCATGTACCCAAAGTAAAAAGTGATAAAGGTTGGCCAGTGTTTAGAGATTTAAATATGTTTAAAAAGAGCAGAGAGCTACGGAGCCTCTGCGAAACTCTAGCGGTCAACGAACCAAGTGAGAATGCCCAGAAACAAGTTGAAAATCCAAATACACGCAACTTACGCAAAAGGCTTCCGTGTTGAACGCAATATAAAGCCTGCTCGACACTTTCAGAGTAGCTCTCACGGCTATCTTGCATTTGAGGCCACGAGTTGCTGTAATATGGAGCAGCTAGCCTAACCCGGCAATCACGCGGACGCTCCCAAAAAGTCTTTGCTGGTGTTGCTGGTCGGTGACGATGGTTAAAGCATCTCAAGCAAAAAGAATTTCAGTGCTACCTCGATTGGTGCTGGGATTTTAAAAGTTTGGTAATCCATAGGAAATCGACCACTCAAAGGAAGGGAGAGAGAACAGAACTTTTATCCTTAACACCGCTTTGATGTCGTCTAGAAAGGGGTAAGTGCATAGGTTAAAAAAAAGGCCTTAAACGCAATAGAGCTATAGTCAACCATTAGCGACGCTAAATGGACGCCAGATAGCCTTTGGAGAAAGTGATCGCCACGCGAGCAAAGCCATTTTTTCTTCTCTGGAAGACAATAGAGGATTTTTTAGTTTACACAATCGTGGTTATTTAAGAGCACGTGCTTTAATATCATGCTCAGCATTCGCACTTGTCCACATATTTACTTCTAGTTGAATATATCCATAGCAGCAATTATTACCTAAGTAGAGGCTTATCTACCAGCAAAGTGGGTTGAAATAGCAAATTTGCCGCTGGTGTTGAGAACAAAGAACTTGAGGCAGCAGCCGGATGCTTGTGCTTTTGTCCATTGCCAATAAAATCCTTTTCCTTCTTAAATATTTACTGTAGAAGCTAGCCATTTCGCAAATAATATTATAAGCCCCCCTCTTCTTGGGCTGCCACTACAGGTGGTCGACTTTTCACCATAGGCCAAACGACGGGTATCTGAGCGCCTCTCGCGTATGAAAATGCTAAGTAGGTTCGACTTACTGAGCATATGCAAAGGACATCTTATAATGGCGGCTTGAATACCCACAAATGTCTTCCTTTTAAATTGTTCTGCTTGCATTTTGATAGAGTCCTTTATTAATTTAAAATGGAGCTTTCTGTGAAGCATTTTTGTAAGTCGAATATATTAAGGTAAATTCACAAGAAAAAGTTTCGAGGTGCAGGCCAATTAACTTGAGCTGAGGACCGCCCTAGAAAAGAGGGATTCCTTAAATATTATGTTGGTTTGGTTGAGTTTCCAATTCACTTTTTTCGTTTGGTTCTTTCTGAGTTTTTGCGTTTTTATTTATAACTGGTTACTATACATTTTAAAAGCATACGTATAATAATTATATAACGTTTCCTTCTTGTAATACAACGCCATCTCATAGTCGTAGAAGTATTTTTTAAGTTTGTATAAACACCTCTTATTAGTGAAAGACATATATTTTCTCCCAAGAAGATCAGCACTAGTTTTTGTGTAGGGCTCGACTTAATAGCATCAAAAGGTGGAGAACAGGGACCCGACGACCAAAAGCGCATATTCTAAGTGCTTTAACTTGTTTTTCGTAAATCTATGCCTTTTAAGATCTTTAAAATTAAAGTTTAATCGTAAGCTTGTAAAAGTATTAAGTATATTAAAGTAGTATAGTTTAGTTTGATTAGCAATATTGTAAGCCATATGTTTGATGTTTTAGAAACAGGTTTATCGTTAAAAACGTATTAGGTGTATTATTTATTTTAATTCTAAGCATAGCCGCATAACATATCTCTGTTTTAAATATTTTTATTTAAAACTTTATACTATTAATAACAAAAAAAAACTTTATAAGTTAGGGAAAAAACGAAATATACATGCCTTAGAAATTTGTTTAGTATATTAGTACAAAATGCACTTAAATATCTTCACAACCCTCATGTGGCCATTATAAACCCTTCTGTTGTCCGTTCTGTATAACTTTCGAATAAAAAGTATCACGGGCGTTGCTATGACTACTTCGAATAATTGACATAAGTTATCACTAAAACGTTGCCATAATTCGTATTAAACCGGCCCTTTTTAAGCGTCTTTCCACAATTAATTAGATAGCTTATATTTTATTTATAATATACTACTGAGGCATTTGTGTTGCTGGGCTAGAGCCAAAGACACACGCTTAAGCTTAACTGATCATACTTAAGCTCACGAGGACTTGTCAACAATATGCATATTTGGTGTAATATTGTTAATTAGGTATAAAAAGAGCGTGCTTGGAGGTTGTCATTTGTAAAGTTGATCGAAGCGGTGCTGAACTTATCGTGAAGGCTTTTTCATCAGTGCTATTCACGCTGAAGTGTACCGCAGAGCGAGATTCCTACCTCCCGTGCGCTCTCGAGTTTCTTTCTTCTCGTGTTTCGCCTCAAGGATGGGAGACAGTAATATTTTTACATAGCAAAAGGGAGGAAGCCGTGCCATTGACCTGTAAACTTGTTTTTGCACCCCTCTGCCTTTGAAGCCTCGGCAAATATAATCTCTGAAATCAAACTCAGAATTCTACTGTCCATTAAAATTGTATTCGACTTTAACTTTTTCACTGGTTTTCAATTATTTTTAAAATTTTTTTTGCTTAATTTATTTTAAGGAATCGGCTTTTTAAATGCGGACGTACTTACACCCCCTTTCCTATTGCCCTACTCGTTGCTTTTTTTAAATAATTGCGTGTGTACGCTTATTAACTTACATAAAATTTACAGCGGAAAATCATAATTAAAACAGTTTATTTTTAAGGGCAGAGTGCGACTAATTGCTTTATAACGGGGTGGAAGGGATATTCTTCCAGTAATAAAATAATTGTTTGTTTAAAAGTATTAAAGGTGAGGGCTCAAAGATTATGAAATAGTAACAACTTTCGGGAACTCAATGAATCGTTTTGATAAATAAAAACATATTGATAAGGCCTGTTACTAGCCAAGAATTGCAAAAGCTCCTAATTCCATAAGTGTTTCAAATTATAAATAGGCCAAACACAAATTACTGGTGTAAGTACGGGTATAATGTTCTAGTACAATTAAAGTTTAGGTTAAAAATCTGAGTATATTAGGTCGAAACAGCAGTAGAGGTTATAAGAAAAAGTTATTAATTTTACTCTTGACAAAGGTCAACTACACTATTGCAATAAAAACTAAGAGTTACTTTGCTCTACCAATGTATGTATAGAACCGAAATTATAAAAATAAATTTTTTTTTACCGAATTGAAAACTATCTAAAGCTAATTAAAAGGAAGAAATCATTGTACACACTTTGCGCATCTCTATATCTTTCCGCTAAAGAAGCTATATGGGGACACAGTGAGTCGAACAGCTCCTAAGACCTTTTCAGTCACTACACCAGTGCTAATAGGAAAAACGCTTTCAAGTGCGGTGCCCACTTATTGGACTTATATTTATTATTGATAAATGTCCCTTTGAAAAAGATAAGCAACGAATAATTGACGCCACTGAAACGAAGTTAAGCTTATTTAAGATAGTATTGGATACCGATAAAACTTAAGTGTTATAGTAAAGCTACTTTTAAAAAGGACGCTCCTCAAAAGTGAGATTCATAACTTTGAGAGATTGCAGACCTTCAAAATATACTACAACTTCTATAAATTTATTTTATAAAGTAGTTTATCAATTTACTTCAAGTCTTTCCTTGACGTAGTCATATACTTTTTCATATTACTATAACATTCTTCTTAGCCTTATTAAGTGGGGACACTAGATTTTGTACCGTTTAAAATCTAATTTAATCAATAAATTTTTTTATAAGATTTAACAATATGGGTAAATATATTATAGTTAAAACATTTTGTACAAGTTGCATCTAACGCTAAGAAAATTTATAGAAATGCCACCTGTAGACTTCCTGTCTTACTCCATCTATAGTAAATTATTAAAAAAACAAGTTCTTTTGGTACAGCGCAACAAAAGCTGACATATTTAACCTTTAGAACTTTGAGCATAAATATGAGAACTTGAACCCTAGCGTGCCCCCTTACAAAACTTCCGTAGGGTAGCTACATATAAAATAAAGATTTATTATTAGTAGTAGTAAAAGTAAAGTTTATTTAATTACCAATAAAAAAATATATTCACTCAACTTTATAATATATTTTAGTAAAGGGTTTAAAAATAGGAAAAAGTAAAAATATACTCTAGTATTTTTTAAATATTAAAGTATCTAAATTATTTTGCTTTAAAAATAGCAAAAGTTTAATTATTAAAAAAATCACATTAATTATTTAGTATAAAAGCTTATACCGAAGACTATAATGTAAGCTTTTGTGCTTAAGCGTTGGGGCTCCTATTCTGTCACGACACTTGAAGGACCGTTGCATACCGTCAGTCACAGTAGCCCGATCTGCCGTACTTACAGTGCTGCTACGGTGGGAAAGCGTTGATGATAGACCACTTACACCGCATATAAGCGCAACTTGGAACGCAAAAGCAAAATATCTTATTTTTTGAGCACAAAACAAGGTAGAGCGCTTGCATTTACCGCTTGGCCCTTTACCGCAATATATGCATTTTACTGTCCCCATAATAATACTATCTATAATAACCGCTATGTATCTTTTCTAAAAACTTCATAGAATATTCGCATTTTCAGAAGAAAGTGGAGGAGACAGCGTAACGCCTCTCCCTTCAGTATAAAGAGCACCATTCTCTTCGCCGCGTTGAATATTTTTTCCAAGTGGCGTTGTAGGTACTGAATATTAACTAACGACTCGATGACGGATAATTTACCGTGGTCTCAATGTTAAAGGCAAATGCAAATTTGCAATTTCTTAACGTTGGATTGTTATGAGGAATAAGCACAGGTGGGAAGGTGTAAGTAAAGAGCTCTGAGAATCGCTTGACCTGTTATATCCATATGTAAATGACACTCAGGTTTGTCTCCGGGTGGATTTTAAGTGCTCTTAGGTTTAGCTCAGAACAGGCTTGTGCTTATGACGTGATAATACGATATAATATAAAAAAAGAAATTCTACATATTTTTAAGCACTAACATTCTAAGTGGGTTTTGTAAAAGTCTAAAACCGCTTAAGCAGTGTACATCTCTTTCAAAGAGGTGAGAGAACGTATACCCAAAAGTGTATTCTCCCACAGAACTTAATAACCGCGCCCAAAAAACTAGGAGATAGTGAAGAATTACCGTGCGTAACCTCCGCCATTCGGCCTGGGGTGGAGGGAAACCGATAAAAAACAACCCACCTGTGGGAGAGGTAGCTAGACCATTCCGACTAATATGATTGTTTCTTTGGTATTATTAATGATCTTTTGCAGATTTTCTTTGAAAATAAGCGCAAACTGCCAAGTTTTACCGTTTACTTAATTTATTTTTGCGTAACTCGAATTTAGTTTCCGCTTGTCTTCTCCACGAATATATATATAGTTATATAGTTGTAGATGTATATAACGAATAGAAAAAAAATGTGCGTCGAGAGCGCATCGCTTGTCGGAAGCGTTCCCTTAAATATCTTATGTAAGTTTTTTTTACCCTTTGGTAATTTGTATGCTTATTGACACGTCTAAACTAACAGCACTAAAACTTTAAAAAATAATTTAAGTCATCCCAAACCCAAAACCTCTAGTAACGTGTTGGTGTGCACAATAAAAGGTGCACCTGTCATTAGTCACAAAAGTCTACTTTGTTACGCCTGTAAAAGTGCGCAACGCTCTTACAATAAATATTCGATGCGTGTATTATTTTAAGATAATGAAAAGTTTGTAAATTACAAACGTTAGTAATGGGATTTTAAATTCTTGAGAGGCCCAGTTTATTAAGTAACATCATTTTTTGGCGCAGCAGCGGTAAAGTGCACGGGTATTCCGCTTTGGCCTTTACACGTTATTAAACGCCCTATTGCCAAGTCAGTTGCTTTAGGAAGATAACGCCTTTAAATTAAATCTTCTATTGGTTTCGCCTTAGTTGATTAGTGTATGCTTTCCTTTCTGGTCCAATTGCGTTTTTGCAAAAAGCATTTTTAGTTTTGCTTGACATTTCAGGCAAATAGCGTTTTAACTTGATCTGACTGTTACTTTTCTCTCCGTAAGCGGTGAAATTTATTGTATAACCTGTTAAAAATTAGTTTGGGGTAAGCACGAAATACTCAAAAGTAAGAGTATAGTAGGTAAATTTGATCTTATGAAATCTGGTTTAATAAATCCTTTTTAAAAAGAAATCTGAAATTTATTTAAATTATATTTTTAACGTGGCATTTTAGTTTTTTAAATGAAATTTACTTACTTGCGCACATGCGACCTCGAAAAAAAAATTCTAAAATATATTAAATAGCTGTCTAATATCGTTTAACAATATAATTTAAATAAATTTTTTCTTATTAAAACTGCGTCAGGGTGATAGGCGATGGCTAGAACTTTTGTAAATACCACAAAGACCACGAGTAGAAAGAAAAGTTCGATTAAAATCCACTTAACTATATTACTCGTATATGTATAACTGTTTAAAATAATTTAAAAAAATTAATGCTTATAAGTTGTCAACATAAAATTTATTTTTAAAGTTCATACAATGACAATTATCATTTATTTGTGCGATCTCAGGACCCGTAACTCCATGCATGTTTCAGTTATTTTTCAGAGCACCATGTGTTCCTCAGTTTCGCTCTTGTTAAAAGTTCTTGCCTTAAAAGTAGTATCGCTTAATTTTTAAAATATTTACAGGGTATAAGTTTCTCTATGTTATACCTTTTTATTCAATCGTCTTTTAAGCTTTAAGCATTTACAAAACTCATATATTTATTTATTTACATTATACTTATTAAATTACCTTGTAGGTTTTCATTTATGAATATATATTTCTAAGTCTTACTATGGAGGAACAAGACGATTGTGTGATTGCTTTATATGATTTTACACCAGAAAACGACAATGAGTTACAGTTTCGTGAAAACGATGTTATCAAAATCATATCATATGTACATAATATGTATTAATTTAATACTTTAGGTATTTTTAGTTTCTATCCGTACTGTAAAGGGTATTGGTGATGGTTGGTGTGAAGGCGAGTTAAATGGAAAAAGCGGATATTTTCCTAGCAATTATGTTACTTTTAAAAAAACGAAAGTTGAATTAGATTCCGACTTTGAAGAGGAAACTTCATCTTTTGAGGGAGAAACTTCTTCGAGAAGGCCCTCTATGGCGGGTTGGTGGGTTTTACTTAGTATAATGTGTTTATATCATTTTTACTTTATAATTGTAGATCCAAGGTAAGCTCGATCCTATATTTTCGTAGTTAAAATTATTTTTAGGAAAGTTTAGTTTCAATAAAGCATTTTAAATATACTTCAACTTATTAAAGAGACTTATTTAATGTCTTCTTATACTCATTTTTTAAACAACTTTTTTTTTTTAAAGTTTATCAAAAAAAAAAATTAATTTTCTCATTCATATAGTGCTTTCTGCTCCAGTTTTAGTTCAGAGGCGCCCACTTAGCTACACCGTAACTAAAGCTTTTCTTTAACTTTACCGTACTTTTTATATTTTGCCATAATAGGCTTTAAATTTGCTTGGAAAAAGCATTTATCGCTATTCGAACTTCGTCAAATCTGGTGCTGAAGATTTCGTTTTAGGCGTTCCTTTAGAAGTTGAGACTGATCAAAAGATCTTCTGCCAAGAAGGCCCTTTTGGCGTCGAATGGCAGCCTCTTCCACATCCTTATAAAGTTTCAGTAGAAATTCTACACGAAAAAAATAAAAATGCAAAGAAAGCTGTAAGCTATCTTTTTAAGGTACTTGCGGGGATTTAAACAAAATTTTTATTCATTACTTAATTGTTTTTGTTAAGTCCACTAAGTGTACTGTGGAAAGACGTTATCATGATCTTGAATGGCTTCAAGATCAACTTTTACGGCGGTGCCGACTTATTACCATACCTGATCTCCCTGAAAAAATAAAAACTCAGCAGGGAGCACGTGTTTTGGAAAGCTGGATCAATAAGATTTCCACGCATCCGGTGTTTGGCAATTCCGCTCCCTTCGAGATTTTTATGCAATGTTCAAGTGATAAGAAGGAGTGGAAAGGCGGCAAAAAAAGTGTCGAACGCTCGCCTTTAGTTGGTGCTGCTCTTCTCTCTACGATTGTTCCTGCGAAACCTAAAGATTCGCCGTAAATTCTAGAAACATTTTTTATTTTTTATTTTACGAAGTTAGTGTTGTTATTCTAACGTGTTTAGAGTTTCGGACATCCGCAGATTCGAGTCTTTTTGCCACAAACAAAGGCAGAGTTTTTCGAAGCTTAGTTCCCACTGCGACGCCATCTCCAGCGCCATGGTGAAGACCCACTACTCCCGTTTTTCATCTATATGTATGGAACTTTCTAAGGGAAATGAAGTCGCCATGGTCTGCTGCTGGCGAGAAACTTGTGATTTAGACAAACAATTAACCAAAGCAATTTTGGTAGCCAGTCAGACCTTTGAGTGGATTGGGAAAAAATGGGCAGAGGCGGTCGCGTGGCAGACTCTGACTTTTGAAGACTATTCGCGCGAGCACAACTCCATTATTATAAAAAGCGAGTCCACGTGTAACGTTCAAGGGGAGTGTCTCTCCCGGACTTGCGAAGTAGCTAAGTTAGTCGCCCAGAAAAAGACCGATCAGGCACTGTTGGATGCCGTCTTGAAAAAATGCGAAGTCATATCGGCATTAACGGAAGCAGAAATGAATAACTTTCACTCTTTTAGGAGGCACGACATCAAAAAGGTAATGAGCGACTTTGAATGACAAGAATAGTTTGCTTAGTTTTGTTTTATAGTATAAGTATTTATAAGTGTTGATCTTTTGGTCTGAAACTACTTTTAGGAAGTGCGCTGATGTATACTATATATTAGGTCCTAGAAGATATAGTTTTAAAAGAAATTGAAACCCACCAAGCGATAATTGAAAAACTGCAAATGGTCAAGAGCGCAATTGAGAGCGCTTAATTCTTGTCGTCCTGAAAGTTTTTAAAACCTTTTACTTGATTAAATTTTTTATTTATGTTTATTAAGAATTTTTTTGCTAAAGATTATTTATATTTAGTTACTTTTTACTACCCAAAGTTAATAGTATGGGGCAATGGTCTCCCACGGAGGTGCCTTCCGACGAAAGTATCTGTGAGTCATAGATAAATACGCCAGCGGCTTCTTGTTCGTCATAATTAAACAATGCGCAAGAGCCAACAGAGTAGTCCAACCGAAGCCCACGATTGTATGGGCGGTTATTAGCCCGTTGAGACCAGTAAGTGTAGTGGCCTTTACTTTCTGGATAGAAAAACCGAAAGGAATCCACAAACCCATTATCCAGTAAGCGGCCAAACGATTCCCTTTCTTCTCGAGTGCATCCGGCCGTTTTCGCGATATGCTTTGCTGTGGGATTGTAGATGTCAATGTCGCAGTGGGCTACGTTGAGATCGCCGATAAGTGCCACGGGTTTTCGTTTTTCGTATTTTTTTAATAGAGCCAGTAGTTGAGTGTCCCACTGTTCTACTCTATACGAAAGCCGCTCGAGTCGCACACCAGAGTTGGGTACGTACACCAAAAATAGATAACAGCTTTTTAACTCCACTAAAACTACACGGCCTTCTGCCTGAGCACCTTGTATTGTAGGATAGCTAATACTTATAACTCTGAAAGACTCGTGAGGCATAGACTCCTTATTTAGTAAAAAAAAATGTTCGCCAGAAGTGTTAGGCGAAGTGTTTTTCTGGGCATAATTGGTTATACTCCTTTGTTTGTCCGTACTCGTTAGCTGTGTTAAGTCGATTCCGCTGTGTTTTATAAACACCGCCACCCCTGAGTAGCCCTTTTTAACTGTGCTAAAAACCCAGAAAGATTGATAGTCTGGAAAAAGTTCTTCCATGCGGAGCTTTACTTCGGCGTTTTTTTCCTGTAGTTTATGTTCTTGCAAAGAAAATAAATCTGGTTTGTACTTTAAAATAACTTCCTTGAAAGTAAATAGTTTTTTTTCGCAGTTAAGAACTGAGCGCAGTCCTGCAACATTCCAACTACATTTTTTTTAGTTAAAAGCAGTTTTTCTGTATGTTTATAAAGAAACCTTAAAATCTTAAAATAGGAAACATCATCGTTAAGTTCCCTTTCCTTTAGTTTATCTGGAGTTACTGCAACCTAGTTGGGCGTCATATTTTTTATAAAAAAGAATAAAATTATTAATAACTTGTAACTCCGATACCTTATTATCATCACCTGTTTTATTTTTTTTTTCGATGTAAGAAAGTTTTTTAGTATTAGAAACCCTTTTCATCCAAAGGTGAGCAGCGAATTTTTTTATAAAAAATATCTATATTAACGAGGAAGGTATAATATAAATTTACCACGAAGATTAAAACAATTTAGTTAGCATTTAACAATATCAAAGTCGTCTGGACAATAGAGAAAAGTAAAGGAAACCATTCATATCTGTTAATTTCTCATAACACTTAATTAAGTAAACGAAGAAAAGGATAAAGTAAAGAATTTTATAAAACTTTATCTAGTTAAATAGTATACTATTTTTTAAAGGGTCACCCTCTTTATTATAACTTAGAAAACTATATATTGTAAGAACTAAGATTATTGCATGACTGCTAGGTGTTAAAATGTTTTAAAAACAAATTAACCAGTGATTGTGTACTTTCACTTTTAAAACTAGGCAAGATAGCGTAACTATACTACATATCGGAACACAAAGTGTTGCAAGTAAAATGAGTTTATTCAAGCACATAAATATAAACACCAGATATTATACCTTTGAAAAAAAACTAAATGCAGTTAAAAGTCTATTAGGTTTAAACTAAGAAAGAATTCAGTTTGTAAAAACCGCTAAAAGTCGAGTGAAAAGGGTAACATCCAAGGAATACCTTCAAAGCCAGGGCATCGGAAGCCATTTAGCCCCAACTAACATATCGCCATGTGGGGCGTGCTTTTTGTAAAAGGCCCGTGTAAGTTTGGTTAGAAAAGAATTAGATATATAAATCATACCTCATTAGAGAGATATTAAAATGAAACCATTATTTACGGTTTCTTTGAAAGATTTAAGTTATATGGTATTATTTTAAAAAGTACGCAGTTGGAAAAAGTTAAAATAATAGTCTTCTAAAACAGACCGCTTGGGTTAAAACTACTATCAAGCAGATGAAGTGTTGTAAAACCAGGTAGAAAAAGTAATATAAGTCAGTATATATACAACTTCACTTTTAATGAATGACAAGGAGAGAAAAAAATAAACAGAACTTTACAGAACTAAAGAAAAAAGGCAACACCCAAACACAGAAAACGGTGCTCGACCGGATTCAGTACAAGAAATGATGGCATTTTCCGATCAAAATTTCTAATCAAAGTTATATAATTGCTGCCCCGTACAAAGTAATTAAAAGCACGTTAAAAATTAGTGTGCCCCCTTCATTAATTTTTACTTAAAAAAATATTTCGCTAATCTCGACTCTTTAAATAAGTTTGTTAAAAACGCTATTATAGTAGTTCTTTTTTTAAATAATAATCTAGTACAAAATTTGACTTGCTTGATAATCTTTCTGGTTGCAGTTGCGGTAGATCGATAAAAATAGTTACCTTATTAGGTGGATTATCTGTCTAAAATTAAAAATCAATTTTTACGATATTTTAATGCTTCTTCAAACTTCAGATGATGGCAAATGATTTAACTGAAGCAGAGAGATAAGCAGTTTGGCCGCTTCGTTGTAATTAAAAAACATGAAAATTTGTGGTCCTTTTCTAGGTAGGACGAGGAGTTTTAAAAAATTACTCAGTGTTATGAACCGGGAGAGCGTTAGGTTGACTATAATAAGCACCCAACGATGAACTTTACAGGGTTGAAATATATATTTAAATTAAATATATAAAGTAAACTAATTAACTTTGAGAAAAAATAGTTAACAGTCTATAACTTAGAGCAAGAAAGGAGCTAATGCACAACTCTATCAAGCCTTGCAGAGGCGAAATTAATAATATAAGAGACTGTAATATAAAAAACAGAACTTAATTTAAATATAGAAGCAAAAGTAGCTTAAAAAGAAAATAGAGAAGACACCCCATACAGGAAAGTAACAGAATCAGCTCCCTTACCCTAATAAGGTTGGAAGCCTTAAAATATTTGTTTAAGCGTAAAATTAAATGGAAATAATGAAGAGGTGCATGCTAGATTACAGCACTATGAGGCGAAGTTCTGACGCTTTTCGTAAGCGTAGTACCTCTGTATTATTTAACAAAGAATAAATGTGATTACAATTCATATTCAACGTTAGTTAAAGCTTAAAGATGACATTCGTTTCTAGGCCAAGTTTTTATACTAAGCAAAAATATAGAAAAACCAGAATTTTAATGTTTTATAATAAAAAAAACTCTGCAAGCCGAAGTGTTCAAGTCAATCACTTAAAAATTTGTTCAATTAACTAATTGGCTGTTATTCTCAATCTGTTATAGTAAAGTATTCATCTAATACAAATATTTTTTGGACAACTACTTAATAAGATGCTTTCCCTATATTTGACCAATCTCTGTAAATTAAAATCTAAACTGTTATTAGTTACGATTATTACCAACCCAGACTTGTAGACTAGTTCCACAGCCGATTAAAAACGAACGAACGAATGCGGTGCAGAAAGCGAAAACCTCAAATATTTTACTTTATTAAAAAGTTACTACATAGGTATATAATATATAAATAATACATTTAGAATGATATTAAGTAGACTGTATTTTTTAGATATTAGACACCAGACCCCATTTACTCCATACCTACCATATGATGTTTAAGCTTAAAAGCAGCTCTACCAGTGAGGCGGCATTTGTAACTGTGCTTAGGTGGATCACTATTTAACGCAAAGAGGCGTTCTTCTAAGGATAAAAGCCGGTGATTAAACGGTTAAAGTTGATTCAAAATTTCTAGACTTTTAAGAGCACCGAGGAGTTATAAAAAATTTTTTAAAACAATGAAACTTTTTAGAAGAAATGAGTATGCTAGGTTAAGAGATGTTACACCTTGGAATCGTCACAATCACTAACGATATCGCCATATGCAGGGAGGGGTAAATAAGAATTGAAATATTCCCCCAATAATTGTAAAAAACTAGGGGAGCGAAGGTCATGATGGGCGGCTTGTGTAAAATCAATAATTGCTTTCTTTAAATTAGAAGGGACCGCGCTTCTTCACTTAAATTATAGCAAATAGATTTCGAATAAAGAATGTTTAACATAGTTCCTTCCTTCGTTAAAGTCAGATAAACAAATAAGATAATTCTTCTTCAAAAATACTTTAATAAGTTATCCTGTAAAAATAACATAGCGTACATAAATATTAATCTACTTTGGGAAAGACAGATTTTTACTGTGAGCTTCACCTCAAACTTTTCAGCACAAACTTCATTTCAAACTTTAATCTGAAAGGACGCTTGACTAAAAAACCTCTCTTTTGTTAAGATTCTGATTGCTAGTAAAGAATTATAGGTTTTTGCACCAATTAAAATATTAAATTGTCCGGATCCAAATCCTCTCAACCGCTTTTTTATGTAATCTCATCACCCTTCCGCTCAGTGCAAAAGAGGATAAAAGGTGCAGTTGATGGGTTAAAGTAAACCCTGCATTGGAGAACTGTACAGAGCTTAAGGCGGTAGGGGAAGAGCAACTGAGAAGTACTTATAAATCTTTTTTTTAAAAAAAAAATATCAACACTGTTAATAAAAGTTAAGGCAACATTTGCCAATTCGTAGCTAGGTTTGTATTTAAAGTCTAGGAAGACCAAGCACTAAAGGATAATCACTCACCAAAAGTAAGATGGTTTTGTGTGCGCTTCCAAAGAAAAATCAAGCAAAATAGAAAAGCAGGATTAGCGTTCCTCGCTTATACAGCTAACCAAAAGTTTAACTAAGGATGGTGGAATAAATGGTTGCGCACTTATCACAGGATTTTTATAAAGTCTGAAAACTTTAACTATTTTGGACGACAAACAAGTACTGGTCCTGTTGCAAAGTACCTCTTTTATTGCAGAGCTTTGATTAAAACTGGCAGATACCTTCAGAATGTGAAAGGTGAAAGAGCTCTTTTTAGACAAGTGAGCTCTTGAAAAATAACAAGCCTTCTAAAAAAAATTTGGTGAGGCAAACTCTCACTTATTTAGACCGTAGGAAAGCTACTTCTTAAAATTCTGATACCTAAGCGTAGAGATTAAATATGTCGCACAGTAAATAATATTTGTTGAAGTCAGACGCAAAGTCTAAATTTGCATTCGAGTAAGCTTGGTTTCATCTTTAAATGCAAAAAATGCTATTAATTCTTAAACACCAGCTTTGTTAGAATTATTTAAAATGTAATATATTATAAATAGAAACCCTTCACAAGCGGAATCTTCCAGAGGATGGACAACCGTCAATAATAGGCACCGTCTATGTGAAGAGCCTTGCTTTAAAGAATAAATCTAACTAAGTCAACATCTATTTAACTTAAATGACAATGCGGATCCTACTTCACAAAATAGGGTACTTCCATCCGTTGAACCTTTAAACAAGGTTTGCAGAAGTTATATAAGTGACCATAAATTAATATTTAAAAAACTTGGTCAGTTCCTATGTTTCAGCTTTATTAAAGGCTTTTAGTTTCGGAAAGTTAGCATTTAAAAATTAAAAATTATGAATAATGAAAGGAAAACTTTAAACTTATAATAGAAAAAGAGGTAAGTATTGATATGTAAGCTGACAAAATTTAAGATAAACTTAATAAAAACACGATAAAACACAAAATATGAATGTGATAGATGGGTAAATGATAATCAAATGGTAAATTTAGTTTTCATACGCTAATTAACAAAAAAAATAAAAAAAGAGGGGAGCTGACTATTAACATCACAAACCGAAAGTGGCTATATGAAAAATAGAAAGATATAGTAAACACTAATTGAAAGTATTTTAAAACAAAATTTAATTTTTTTTTAATAATATATAAGAACAGTATAAACTACAAGAAGAGGAACTAGAAAGAAAAGAACAAAAAAAGTAACACAATCATAAAAAGTGGACACAACTTGGATCCAAACAGAGAATATATATCTGCATATCACCACGCAAAGTGCTGGGCAGGCGAACAAAGGCCCAAAAAAGTTGAGGTAGAGTATAACCCCTTAAACCTCAACGTAAATAACCTGTTGGAACACGATTTATATATTGTTAGTATTTATGAAGACGATAAACTTTTAGATTCCTCGTTAATTTATGGACCTCGCCCTTTACGTAGTCAAAAAGAAGGATACTTTATAAATTTCTTAAGAGCTTAAGGGAGACACGACGGAAAGCTTTATTTCTAAATGTTCTGCTAAACGGGCCCCTTTTATTATTCTAATTGCTGGGTTATAACTAATATAGAATAAAACCTTGCTACCGATTTACTAGATAGACCACTAGTACATATCCCTAGACCCGAGTCGAATAACTGTAAAGGCTGTTGTGTAGAGCCGAATTGAGACAATTTAGAAGAGCGTGCTGGGTTGTCCGAATTTTAGTTTAGAGCAAACGCGGTCACAATACAACAAAACAGAAACAATTTTTCATAAATGGACAAACTATGGCTTTAATTTCACAAAAGTCACAGGTAAATTCCTCTAGAAACCGAGAAGACCGCCTGGCATAACTCGTGTATGCTAAGATTTACTACGCTGTCACACCGTACTCGCTTGCGCAGGATATACCGGGAGTCTCTGCCATATCCTCTACTGGTGGCGCTCTACACACTTAACCTCCCAAAACTAGGAGGCCATCGCATTTTATGCGGATGACACAATACTCTACCCGTCGTTATAAAGCCGGGATTTATAACATCAGCATCTGCAGAGATATTTAAAAAATATTTACTAACTGGTGCCGGCAATGGGGCGTAAAATTGGGCATAATATCAATGAAGACCGTTATCTACGGCAAACTGTGAAATAAAAAAAATGACCCATGGCGCAAGGAACATGATGTTCTTGTGCAACAAACTGCGCTTATACATGCTGTGTGTACGACCCATCATTGCACTAGCTTTACCCTG